CTTGTGCAGCCAGCCCTGATGCGCCACGCGTCCGAACATAGCAGAGCCCGCCGCAGACACCGCACCGAGCGCACGCGACGAGGGAACGTCGCCCACTGCGCAGCGCACGCACTCAGGATTTGCCTGATGACGTATGAAGGCGTCGCCACTTTGTGGCAGTTTTCCTCAACGCTGTTGTGGCTTTTACATTGATAACAAAAAGCAGACCATCAATTCAACAGTATGATTTTATATTTTATGTAATTATGAGGCCTGTAATTCGATTTCGATTCTTGTCCATAGTGTCCGAGACATCGCGAACTATTAAGTAGTTACCAGTTAGGCCTTCTATGCCTTCGTGTCCTACTTAATTATTTTAATTTCAAATATTTGCATAAGGAGAGTCCAAAATAATTTTCATAGATATGATATGAGGCACTAGACACTAGAATTTTCGAAGGTCTCAAATTTTTAAAACCACAGACGTTTTACAACCCTTAATGAAAAATGAAAATGAAAAAATATTTATTTAAAAAAAAAACTCCCACAAACTTAACCTAATTTACATTTTTTACACAATAAACACAATGTAAAATTAACACAACCAGTAAAGTACGTAAGTGTAAGTATGAAAGCAAGTCTGTAGGCTAGTTTGCTTATTAGCAAATTATTCAGCTACCCTCCATACTAGTATAAAACTGTATTACGGCGGCAGCGGCAGTGCGGCCAGTTGCTGTGCGTATCTGCTAAAAGTTGTTACAGTACAAGCAAAATACACAGATGCAACGAAATATAAAAGTTAAATAATTTTAAATTAAGTATTACAATTTTTATGCATGTTTGTTACGTTAAAATAATAGATTAGGTTAACATTATTAATTAATCCTAAGTGTACATTATACCATAACTAGTAATTTTTCAGTACAGTACAATCATCTTACTACTTTTCTTACTAATTCACTTCTTACTAATATTATAAATGCGAAAGTTTAGATAGATGTTTGTTAGCGTTTGTAGCCTAAACAGCTGAACGGATCTCCATGAAATTTGGCACAGGTTTAGAGCATAGTCTGGAAGAACACATAGGCTACTTTTTATCCCGGAAATAGTTACGGTTCCTGTTGGATTCATTAGTTTAGTTATTTAATGTTTACTCGATCATTCTGCAGCGGTTCAACATATCTTATTGAAATTTGGCACAGATATAAGTCTGGAGTACACATGGGATAAGCTTCATCCCCGAGAAATGTCTGGTTCCCGAGGGATACGTAGCTTTTTGTAATTTATATAGTTCGTAGGTTTTCTAATACCACGCGGACGAAGTTGCGGGCAACAGCTCGTAGTCCATATTGGAAAGGTTCATGAATAGTTAATTTTAATTTAATTTTTCTACACTTTTTTGTCAGTTGCCAGTTGTCGACGTGTATTTGATACTTGAGTTGGTCTTGAATGTTGCCTAAAAATAGTGTGATCGGATATCTAAAATTAAGAAAATTTACAATTTTATTATTGCTCTTTGGGCTCTTTCGATTTGTAATAGCTCAGTTTTTCTTGCTCTACCCCAAACCATTATGCCGTAAGAGATGAAAGATTGACGCAATGCAAAGTAAACTGTTTTAATAGTTTTGGGTTCATTTATATGTCTGACTTTTTTAAAAATGGTTATAAATTTTCTTAGCCGTATTGAATTTATTACCATCCCCCAACTTTCACAACTTACTACCCTTAAATTAAATTAAATAAGGATTAAACATTATTTTATTTATTTCATTTTATTTAAATTAACTGAACTCTTGCCAACTTTGTCATACAGGAATCAGAATGACATGAAAATTGTCTAAAACACTTAG